CGTGGTTTGCTTTCAGTTCTATAAGTCACCCCGGTGTGTTGTGTGATTCGGGAGACACCCTCTCTGGGTGTCTCTGACCTCTGCAGTTTCCTTCCTCCTCTGGACCTCACTAAAGGACAGAGCTTATGCAAAGATTCTTAACCTGAGACTGAGATAAGAATATCATTTGGTACTCTTATCTTTATGGTTGTGATTAGCACATGAAATGCTATTTTTATCATTATTACTCTGTGGTGCTGGGGATTGAACCCAGGGATTCATACATGCGGGGCATGTACTCTGCCACTGAGCTGCATCCCCAGTCTTTTTATTTTTATTTATCATTATTATTTTTAAAGACAGGGTCTCACTAAATTATCTCAGCTGTCCTCAAACTTATGATCCTCCTGCCTCAGCCTCCTGAGTAACTGGAATTACAGATGTGTGCCACTGTGCCTGGCTGCTATTTTAATGATTTTAAATAAAGTGTAAAGATAAACACTTTATTTAAAACCATTAAAATAGCAAAAACTGGCTTTCTGTTCCTGAGCCCTGGTTGTTTGTTCCAGGTAGCTAGGACAGGGAATGGATAATCTCATTTCCTTTGTCCCTTTCCTGTATCCCTCCCCCAGAGTCTGGGAGCAGACAGCATTGAATTAAATGAAACCAGGTAATCACTGAATGATCATTCATTCATTCATTCTGCAAATGTCTTGATACCGGGTTTTTCAGCAGTGATAAAAACAGACAGAAATCCCTGCCCAGGTGGAATTCCCATTCTCCTGGGCAGACAATGAACAAGGAAAGGTCAAATGTCTAGTATGATGGGCGTTGACAAGGGATGTGGAGAGTGGGTGCCGAAGAGGAAGGAGGCAGGGAGAGGAAAGAAGGCTGGAGGCCTCCTGGCCACTCTCATGGATTCTCTCTCCTCATCTTAACCTGGGCAGGGATCTGAAGGATGAATGGAGACTCTGGCGGGGTAAAAGGTGTGTTCGCAAGGGGAAGAAAGGGGACCGGGGACAGCAGAGGGGGAGGGGCTAAGGCTGCTCACTGGGGTCTGTACCCCAAGGAGCCACTGAAGAGCAAGGTTGGTAGGTGATCTGATTTGCATGATAGCAAGAGTCGTCCTGCCTGTAGTGTCCTGAGTGACTTGGGCAGGGCAGGAATGAGGAAAGTTGCTGGTCCCTGGACCACAGATCTTGTGGGCACAGAACCGGAGGAGTGATCAGGAGGAGTGAGCTTCCAGACTTGGGATGAATGCATGCGCTGGGGGCTGCTGGGAAGGGGAAGGACAGTCTGTTGGCCAGGGATCAGCTGACCTCCAAGTCATGACCTGGGGACATGGTAGAGGGAAGATGGGGCTGAGTCCACTGGGGATTTGCTGGCTGTGACACACCTGAGCAACATCTGATTGGAGACCCTCGTCCCTCAGTGTATGAGTCCTGACCTCTGCCTCTTTTTTCTTCCACAGGAGGCACCCAAATGTAATATCTTCTTGTAAGTCTGGGCCTTTGGTTAGAACTTCTAATCTGGGGAGGGGAAGGGAGGGACAACCCAAATAATGCCCTGCCTGACCTTCCTGGGTGGGGAGGCAGACAGCTCATCCATTATCCTCACCTCCCACTCTACTCCGAAACCATCTCCCTCCCTCTCCAGAGAGGGAGAGAGATCTTCCCTCCTTCCCTCCACCAGCCAACCCTGGGGAGCTCCGTGCTTGTGGGCAGGTCAGCAGCTTAATCCCAAGCCCTCCCACTGCAGTCCCAGGTCCTGGAGGGTGGTGGGCAAACTGTCTTTGCTGACACTAATATATAAACCTCAAGGAGCCTGAGCACAGTGAGGAGGAGCTGGGGCTAGGGTGTCTGGGCAGAATGTTTCCATCAAGTCAGCATCGAATGTTCCAGAAGCCTCTTTCCCCACCTACCTTACACCCCATGGGTGCTATGGAGGGTCTGCTCTTCCCTCTTGAGTTAGCTCTGGGACACTGGGCATTGCCTGTCTGTCTGCATCGCCTGGGTCAGTGAGAGATGCTGCAGCTGCCCGGGGAGGCTGCGGGGTATTCACTCCCCCACTTTAGAGCGGGGAAAAGTAAGGCCCAGCAAGGAGTAATTCAGAGCAGGACGACAAGGCCTTCATGAGAGGCTCCTGGAAACCAGGCCCTGCCACTCAGCCCAGAGTGGGGCCTGACCCCTACCCCACCGAGGGGGCTTGAGCCTCCAGTGTATGGGTGTTTGGGGAGGCCCGGGTCCTTCTGCCTCTCCACTGATCATTTCTCTGTCCCTGAGCAGCACCTGCACCCAAGGACACAGATGCTGTGGTTACAACTGCTGCCAGGAGATGACAATCTTCTCCGGCCCCTTGAGGTGAGCCCAGGATCTCTGGTACTATCCATGGAGGGACCTGGTCCACCCAGGACAGTACTGGACATCCTGCTGTGGGGCTTGGGTGGGCCTGGGAGGGGAGTGTGGTGGGGTGACCTGCACTCAGGGTGATGTTGGCGGTCCCCCACCCTAGGATCTTCATCATCATCTTCCTCGTCATGCTGCCCCTCGTGTGCATCTGTGGCCTGGCTAAGCGCTTCTGTAGCAAATGCAGGGAGCTGGAGAGGGAGCCTGCAGAGGATCACCAAGGGCTCCCAGGCCCACCCTCCATTTCCCCGCAAGAGAGGGCCATGGCACCGACCTCTGAGCCCCCACCACCCTACAGCGAGGTGGGTCTCTCTATCTCAACCCCTGACTTGCTCCTGGGCTAGCTGTCCCTCACAATTGTCCAGATTGTTACAGAGACAGGATTGGGCCTCTAGTTATCCCAGCCCTTCAACCCTGGAGAGGGTTCTGATATCATAATTGCACCCCCCTCCCCTGGGCCAGTGAATAGGCCTTCGCCCGCATGGGGGTGGTGATGGCCAGGTCCAGGTCCTAAGACACAGGGCCCTCTTTTCCCTGTAGGTTATTCTGAAGCCGGCCCTGGTCCTGCCTCCCACAGAGCCGCCCCCTCCCTACAGCTTCAGCCCTGAAGAGTATGCTGGGGTGCGGAGGGGCATTGACAACCCAGCCTTCTGAGCCCCTCCTCCATCTTCTCGAGAAAGCCAGAGACTTCGGGGACTCCTGGAACATCCCCATCCATCTTGCCACATCTCTGGTTCTTCTTGGATTTAACTTATTGCTTTTTCTGCCCTCGTTCCTCTCCATCTGCCTCTTATCCTAAGGGCTGGGTGGAGCCACAGTATCCCCTCTTCCAAGTTAGAGGCTGCCAGGAGGAAAATATCCACAGCTGAGGTCCCTGCAGTGGACTAGGCTGCTCTGCAGACTAGAGGCAGAGCTGTCACTGGAGACACACAGATCATGACTGGACAGCTAGCTCTGATACCATGGAGACACTTCTGTATCCCGGGGAGGTTGCACGGGGTGAGCTCTGAGCCACCTTGAACTCCACCTGAATGGAGAAGACCGCATTGTACCCACCCCCAACACATGCTCCAAACACATGTGGTCATTAAATTTTAGCTGACTGTGACCAGAATCTGCCTCTGGCTGTGTGAGGAGGTGGGCAGAGGGTGGGCTCTGATACAACTAGGGGGTGGGGGGAGAGGGACGCAGCACCAAAATCCAATGACAGATCCGATGATGACCCTCCATGAGTTCATTGACTGTCAGCCTGGGAAGACGATCCATCCATGCTGGACAAGCTCAGACCTCCAGTTCCTTGAGGTCTCTGGGTGCTAAAGAGCTGGAAATGGGCTGGGGTGACCGCTGTGTGACTTCCCCATCCCATCCTCGCTCTGCTTCCCCTGGGAAATGTGGGACTGCCTCGCTGTGTGTTGGTGAGAACCCGGGGAAAGCCTGAAGCTTGGAAACAGACTACTGGGAGAAGGTGGGGTGCTGAGGAGGCCAGCAGAGGCGAATGCGTGGGGCTGGTCATCGGTGGACAGGAGCCCCTGGAGTCCTTGATGAGCCCATCCTGGAATCTTCTGGAGAGGAGTTGGCAGATCCTGCTGTGCTTTTCCATTCCTGTGTGAACTCTGGGCACTGAAGCTCAGCCCACCTCAGAGTCTGAGCCCTAAGAGGAAGATTCTCCCCTGTAGTGTAGAGGAGCTTCCCTGGGCTTAGTTCCATGGGGTCTGCAGCAAAGCCTGGAGCTTGGAGCTGCGCCTAGGTGGTGCAAAGTGAGGGAGATCTCGGTGCCAGGCGCCTCCACCCAACCTTTGCCCTGTACCCTGCCCTCCTCTCCAGGTGCAGAGCATAGCATCAAGACTGGCCATAGCTCCTAGGAGAAATGGAGGTAGAATTAGCTCTAGTGTGCCGACAGGGGTTCTCCCAACATGGCATCCAGACCCAGGCAGGTGGCAGGACCAGGGCTTGGAGATGGCACAGGCATCCCCAAAGATGTCAGGGATAGGGTGTCTAGGTGGGATTACCTGGTGGACACGGCCCGAAGGGAGAAGAGTATTTGCTGATAAGACAGCCTAGTCGTGGCAGCGGGGAATGAGCTCACAGTAGGTGGAGTCTCCCTGCAACCCCAGGGGCTAGCTGAAGGGGCAGGAAGCACATATGTGGGTGCTGTGTGTCCATGTGTGGCCAGCTCCAACTAGAGACGTCTCAGAGCTGGCATTTGCTCTCACTGGTAAGCACCCACCCCTGGAGGAAGAGTTTGAGCTATGGACTTTGGAATCCTGAAGGCGGTTACCCTCAGCCTGGATGCCACCCTCCTGTCATCAAAGATGGCATAGGGCCTTTAATTTCTCCTTCTCAGTGACATCCAAGTGCCCTGAAGAAGACAGTCTGTCCTGAAACCCAGGGTGACTGCCTCTCGGGCTCCCCTGGTCACTGTTGGTGGGAATGAAAGAAATGAGACCTCTCCAGGCAGCTGTCTGACACTCTCATGCCACAGATATATCCAAAGCCCCTACTGTGTGTGAGGCACTTAGGCCTGGCCACCCAGGAGCAGGTGAAATGCACGTGACCTAACAATTTCACTTCTAGAAACCAGCCTTCAGAAGTGCTCATTATGAGAAATCCTCATAGAGATGTCTGTCACCACATTGTGGCTCTAGGGAGGTGGAGATGAAAAGATTGTCAATGTTACCAACGTTAAATAAGCCAAGTGCGTCCTCACCGTGAGCGCCACGTGGCCTTTACCGAGGGGCTCCACAGCCCTGAGCTGACACAGTGGCCATCATTCATCGTTACAGAGAAAAGGCAAGTCACATAACAGTAGCCTTATACGTATACACCATCATTATACTTTAAAATTATATAAATGTGCATTTTATTTTCTTTGACAAGCTCTAGAAGGACATGAACCCACCCACGCATCACACTGAACAGCTGTTGACACCATGGAATAAGTTGGAATGGGTTGGAGGTGGGCCATTTTAAGAGGAGCTTGTGATTTTGTGTACTTGAGCATTGTTTCGTTTTGTTTTGCAATAAGCCAGCCTTTGCTTCTGTAAATGTAAGAGGTTTGTTTACTGGGCTTTGCTTAGAGGCAGCCTTAGAGGTTGGTGAAGAGTTACCTTGTGAGCTTTGATAGATGGCAAATACTCTATTCCCAGCCCTGATGTGGAGGAAGAGGTTAGAAGGGCTCAGACACGTGGCATGTAGGACACCTTTGTGACTCAGGGTGCCCAGTGATGCCTGGACAACTGCCAGACACGAGGCCCCCGTGCCTAACCTGTGCAGGGTCACGATGGGCACTGGGTGTGGACTGAATGAGAGAAACAGTGAGCCGATGCCTGGCTGCCCGGGTGGGTGGCTGGCCACTTCCTAGGGAATGAGAGTGAATTCTCTGGTCCACCCCTGTGGTCGGTCACCCCTCCCCCATCTGTTTACTGCACGTCCTCCCTCCCCATGTGCTTTTCCTGCTGCCCCCATCAGCCCTGACACGGCTCCCGTCCAGATCATCAGTGACCAAGGGTTCCCCGGCCTCACCTCTCGTTGGCATTTGACAGACTTGGCCACTACCCTCTTCTTGAAAACCCTTCTTTTCCAGACCTCTCTGGCTGCACTTGACCCTCCTCCTACACGAAGGCGGCTCCTTCTCAGCCTTTCCTCCTCCTCCTCTGCCATCTCTGAGTGAAGACGGACCCAGGGGCTCTATCTTTGGTCTTGTCCTCAGGGTCATTCATTCACATCGTGGCTGTGGTTTCACAAACCATCTATTCTCTAATGAATCCCGGGTCTTTATCTTGAGTCGAGATTTCCCCCTTGAACTCTAGAGAGATATACTAAACTACCCCACACCTCTCCTTGGAAGCCTGAGGACTGTCTATGTTCTTTCTTTCTCTCTTTTTTCCAGCCCCCCTCCCTCTCTTTTATCCCAATAAATACTTAGTGAGCCCTTCCCATGTGCCAGGCTCTATTCCAAGGCCTGGGTGCAGGAGGCACGGCAAACAGATGCTGTTCCTGCCCTTGTGCAAAACATATGCCGATCAAATAATCCAACGAGTGAGTCTGTGGTTATACCCTATGCTAAGTGCTGGGAAGAAAATTCACATGGGATACAGAGAACTACTGTAGGCAGGCAGGGTGCTGCTTTAGGTAAGGGGGTCAGGCATGGTTTTGGAGGAAGAGACATTGAGCTCATTCCTTAAGAGTGAGAAGTAGGTTGACATGCAAAGAAAGCCGAAAAGGACACTCAGCAGAGGGGCTGGCATGTGCAGAGGTCCTGAGGCAAGAAGCAGCTTGAGGGGCTGGGATTGTGGCTCAGCGGTAGAGTGCTTGCCTAGCACGGACGGGACCTGGGGTTGATCCCTCAGTACCACATAAAAATAAAGGCATTGTGTTGTGTCCATCTACACCTAAAAAATATTAAAAAAAAAAAAGAAGCAGCCTGATGCTCATGAGAATCTGAGACCCTGCTTTGCTTCAGAATCACCCCAATTCCCTCTTTCCCTCCCTCTCTCCTTCCTTCCTTTCTTTCTTTCTCTCTCTTTTTTTCTTTAACAAGAAATTGAACCCAGAGGTGGTTAACCACCGAGCCCCAGCCCTATATTTATTTATTTATTTATTTATTTTTGAGAGAGGATCTTGCTAAATTGCTGAAGCTGGCTTCCAACTGTGGTCCTTCTGCCTTGGCCTCCCGAGTCCTAGGGATTACAGGCATGTGCCACTGTGCCCAGCCAAAATTCTCAAAATTCTTAACAGAGAATTCATTTCCTAGAGCTGCTGTGACAACCTCTAACTGAGAGGTTTAAAACAACAGAAATCTATTCTCTCACAGTCCTGGAGGCCAGAAGTCTGAAATCAAGGTGTTGGTAGTTGCTTCCTTCTGGAGACTCTAGGAAATCCATCCTATGCTCTGTCCTTCTGATGGCTGCTGACCATCCTTGGTCCCTGGGCTTGTGGGTGCCCTCCCATCTCTGCCTACAAATTCACAGTCGGTGTGTTCTACTTTCCCATCCAGTAAGGACACTCTTCATTGGATTAGGGATCATCCTAATCCAAGACGATCTCATCTTGAGATGCTTATGTAAATCACATCCACAAAGACTTTGTTTCAAATAAGGTCTCCTTCTGAGTTTTGAGGTTCCAGGCAGACGTATCTTTTGGGGGGAACACAATTACATTCACTACAGAGGATTCTTTTTTGGGGGGGAGGTGGTACGGGGAATTGAACTCAGGCACTCAAACACTAAGCCACATCCCCAGCCCTATTTCGTATTTTATTTAGAGACAGGGTCTCACTGAGTTGCTTAGTGTGTCGCTTTTGCTGAGGCTGGCTTTGAACTCACAATCCTCCTGTCTCAGCCTTCCAAGCCCCTGTGCCCGGCTTCCCTAGACATTCTTATGGGACCTGAGAGATCATCTGAAAAATATTTTCCCTAAAAAGCTAGTTCTAGAAGATTCTTTTTTAAGGGAGCCAGAATAACATTCTATGTTCAAACATATTTGGAAAATAGATATCTCACATAGGTCAGAATTCACCTGCATTTATTAAAGGGCTAAGAATTCATAGAAGGAAAAAAAAGCCACCTTCTCATTATTTAAAGCAACAATTTCCCATTTTATTTCACCATATGAGCTGGGGTTGTGGCTCAGAGGTAGAGTGCTTACCTAACCTTACCAAACATGCACAAAGTCCTGGATTTGATCCCCAGCATTGAAAAAAAAAAAGTATTTCACTATAAAATCCCATTTTCCCTCTCAGAATCACTGGGGAATTTTGAGATTACATCATCTCATGGAAATTCAAGAGAAATGCTGATGTCATTCAGTCTTCTCTCATTACAGATGGACCAAAAAGAAGTCATTGGTCCAAGGTCACAGAGCTGGGAGGGTCAGAAGTTGGATTTAGAACTCAGTCTCCTCAAAATGTTGGAGATGGAGACGCAGTAGCAGTGGACATGGGAGGGGAGCAGGTGGGTCTACTCAGGGCTCTCCCTGGGGGATCTTCATGGTGATGGAGTAGCTTTGCATCTCAGTAGCTGTGGTAGTTACACCACTGTCTGAATGTCATAAAATAACAGAACTATACACATGCATTGCACCCGGGGCCAATTTCCTGATTTTGATATAAAAATG